TCTCCTCCTTCAATCTTTTATATATCCCTCACCTCATCTTCTCTCAAATTGATGATCTTCTTTTCTTTAATAATTATTATTGTTATCTATATATGCATAGATATATAAATACAACCCGCTGAGTCCATTAAGGGTTGCTTGTAGGTATGATTTCAGGGCTGACCACTTGTTAGATAGCCAAGTAGGGGGCTCATCCCTAGGGAAGACTAATTCTCCCTCATTCAGGATTCTTGAATTACCTATAATTCTTTGTCTATGAGTGGGGTCCTGTGAGAATTCCCTTTCTGTTTTAGTATGACTATCGGTATTGTTCTCGTGTGGGTCTTGTTTGGATAGCCACATTGTTGAAGTATTATGGGTGCAGCTTCCTGACATTTCTAGAGACTCAATACCACAGCCAACTTCCTGTTTGCTGCTTCTCACCCGCTTTCCAAAATAGATTTGAAATTCCAGATAGCTGTCGATGGCAGGGACCTCAAAGTTTTCTTGCCAGAAGGTGTTGTCGCCACCTGCTGGCAAGGGCTTGTAAGTTCCACCTTAATCGGGCTGGCAAAGTCGCTTTTTATTTTAGCTGTTTGTACTATCTTGCAAAGCTCAAAATATGAAAATCCCATGATCGTGGTCATAACTTGCAATGTCTAGGCCAGGGATATCCATCTCGTTTCTATATGTGCCGGGAAACACGCAGGAGTAGTCAGTGCAGCTCTGTTTTTATTAGCAAATAAAGTGGGAACAAACGAGCCTACATCAGTAGAGATGGGGGTAATTTAGAGACGGTGCCTGTGCACATGTGTGTGCACATGAGGGGTGTGTGTGTGTGCGTGTGTGTGTATCAGATGTCTTTTTTTTATTAAAAATTATTTATTTAATTAGGTGTACAGCATTTCTTCCACGTGTGCCCGAAAGCCAGCAGGGGTGCCAGTTCTCATTATAGATGGTTGTGAGCCACCATGTGGTTGCTGGGATTTGAACTCAGGACCTCTGGAAGAGCAGGCAATGCTCTTAACCTCTGAGCCATCTCTCCAGCCCCCTGTATCAGATGTCTTTCTCATGACTTTGCAGTTTATTTTTTGGGACAAGTTCTCTACTAAGCCTGGAACTTGCTGTTTTGGTTAGACTGGCTGGTTAGAAAGCCTCCAGGACCTGCTGCCCCTGCCTCCACAGCACCGTGACTTATGTTACACTATGCGCCGCACTGCTTGGCTTTCCACCCGCGTGCTGGAGATCTGAACAGCAGGCACGTGACCCACTGCGCCATCTCCGCAGCCCAGAAATGACGTGTTCTTCCGGGGGTGTGGTTTATAGCAGTGAGAAAGTAGTTCCGCTCACTGACGTGGGTCTGGGAGAGAAGGTTATTATCCACATACAGGCATGTACATAATTAAAGATAACGTAACTATTTAAAGAGAGAAATCATTTTATGTGAAAATGAAAATTTAAATCTTACTTCTTCAATGACGCAATATGTGCAAATATACATAAACAGGGAAATTAAAAGTATATATTGCCTATGCAAAATGTGTATGTAATGATGGCAAAATCGGCATCGTTTCCTCGAGAAGGGTAGAAGAATATTGAGAATGGCTCTCAGGAGAATCTTTAATATCATATTTCTTTCATAAATTGATTTAATTATAGCAAATATTTAACATGTACTTGTTA